AGGGGGGACGGGGCTGGGGTGCAGGGATATGGGTCTGGAGATGCAAGGGTGCCGGGCTGGGAGTGTAGGATTAGGCAGGTTATGGGGCTGGGGATGCAGGCTGCAGGGGTCCAGGGCAGTGGGATGCAGGGATATGGAGCTGGGGGTGCAGGCTGCAGGAGTCCAGGATGGCAGGGTGCAGGGATATGGTGCTGGGGATGCAGGGTTGAGGGGGTACCGGTCTGGGCATATACGCTGCAGGGGTACGGGGCGTTGGGATGCAGGGATATGACACTGGGGGTGTCAGTTGCAGGGGTACAGGACAGCAGAATGCAGGGATACAGGGCTGGGGATGTGGGTTGCAGGGATACAGGGTGTTGGGATGCAGGGATACAGAGCTGGGAACGCGGGATGAAGGGGTACGGGACACTGGGGTCTGTGCTGCAAGGGTACGGGGCTGCGGGATGCAGGCTGCGAGGCTATGGGGCTGCAGGAGCTGGGTTAGAAGGACGGGGTGCTGCGGGATATGGGGATGCAGGGCTGTGGGCTGCAAGGTTAGAGGGCTGCAGGATGCAAGCTGTCAGGATATGGGACCAAGGGATGCCGGCTGCAGGCTGCAAGGATGCAGGGCTGTGGGGTGCAGCGCTGCAGGGCTGTGGGATGTGGTATTAGAGGATGTGGGAATAGTGGGCTGTGGGTTGTGGGATGTGGGGATACAGAGCTGCATGTACGCAGGACGCAGGGAAACGGAGCTGCGTGATGCAGAGGTACAGGGCTGTGGGGTACACAGCTGCAGGGATGCAGGATATGGGAATACCGGGCTGCAGGATGCGGGATACATGACTGTAGGATGCGGGATGTGGGAACACGGGAAGCAGGATATGGGTAGATGGAGTCGCAGGATGCGGGACTATGGGAAGCAGGATATGGCCAGATGGGGCAGCAGGATGCGGGGACACGGGGCTGCGGGGCGCGGGGACATGGGATTCAGGATACGGGGCTGCGGGGCGCAGGGTTTGAGGACGAGCGATTGAGGCTGCAGAGGAGCGGGGCTGTGGATGTGGGGTGCAGGGAAGCAGGCACTCCAGGGAGCAGGCTGTGCCGAGGGGCAGCGGGAGGCAGAATCCCCTGCCCTGGCAGAGGAGGTCCTGCAGCCCCCCCG